CAGGTAACAAATAAATAAACTCACTTTCACATTTATAGTAATTAGTACGGAAGTACGGATTGTTAGATGGCTGTAATCTATCAGAATAGAGACGACACAATAATATATAATGTCTACAATAATATCCTATTCTCATTAATACAAAATACTCGTGTAATAAATACCACACACACAGTCACACACAGTATCATTTTTCAATAGTTGTGGGTTCGATCCTAGAAAAAAAAAACTGTATTTACGAGTCACGATGCAATACTCGTAAATAGGTATTCATGTATTCACGAATGTGTAAGTATTTATATCTATTTATTAATTGTCTACTTTATAATCATAGTTGTAAAAGCTTTGCTTAGTTTAGTACTAGATGGCGTTGATTTTAATTTGTTCAATTACGTAATCGTGCATTCGTGTCTGACAAACCCCGAACTTTATCAGACACCATACACAATTAAGTTTTAAATGTTGCGGTTGTTAAGAAAAGTACACTCCCTTCTAAATGCGAGTTCATGGCCTTTGTCTTTAGTAGTAACAGCTGACATTTAAGGACTTGGTTGCCGTGCGATTGTAGACTTTATTATTAGAGTATATGAGATGAAATAACATCACGTATTCCACTACCACGTTCACCAGCAAAACAATAATATCGATCACGACATCAATAACCTTAATGTGGCGACCTTGCACCTGCTTTTTAGGACCACTGGGCCCAACATTTGGTTGAATATAGCTATCTCATTCTTGCATAAAATGAAACCAATATATTTGATGGCATATATTTGTGACATTTAGTTTCCGTTGATGGTAATAGTCATGAATCTTCCAGTGCACTTTTGAAAATTACGATCCTGTATCATCTGCATCCATCGAATCCCTGCAATAAGAAGAAAAGAGATTGTTAGTAATGGGGTCTAACAGCCCCATTGCTAGCAATATACCCTGTTGACTTCCACACGGTTCCCCCTGAAAACTATCGTAGTTAATTCTTGTGGAATTTGTCACGATCGCCTAGCTGACCTGCTTTTATCCTCACCAGTCGTCTCTCTCTGGTACTCCGCCGTTGTATAGGTGCTGTACCACAGTCGGGGATACCACTCTCACCGTAAAAAAAGACTCCCTTTTTTATAACACTTTTGGATAGATGCCTTATTGTAAAATATAATTTTAATGTATGGCGTTTTAACATACTGTCTTTCCGTAATAGTCGTGGATTCGATCTCCGATTTTATTTCTTACACTCATGCATAAGCATGAGCGTATAGCACATTTTCTTAAAAAATAATAGGAGTCATAGAGGGATAGTTTATGGGATTAGACAGCAATTAATTACAAAATGTAATGCAAATGATTTATTGTGTGATTAAAAAGAACCCGTTATGGCATAGACGTTGTAGACTGTGGGTTGCAACCCGATCCGCTTCGAAATTTTGAGAAAATATTTTTTCTTGATCTAATCATATTTTTAAATATCCATAACATTGAATAATAATAATACTGCTAGATATCGGTATGTTATTGCGATAATTTTAATGGGTAAATATTAAAGTTCTAGTATAATAATTAATGACGTATCTGAACGGTCATTTTATGACGCCAACCGTTAAGAAATATGCCGTCACCCCAGTTCGGTAGAATCTTTGATATCCCCGCTACCTGTATCATCCCTCGGTATCTTTTATATTATTATTTTTTTCTTTTACTATTGTATAATTTTTTGTGGATCGAATTACTAGTTGTGAGGTTGCAGCCACGATTCGATGCGGCCGCATTCTTGATAATTTCGTTTATTAATACGTGTATGCGATGCGATGAGCGAGAGAGATAAACAATCTTGATTTCTTTTTTTAACCACTAGATGGAAGCTAGATGATGTACATGAACACGCACCTCATTTGATGAACTTCGTTTTGATATTAATTAGTTTGAACATTTTGACGACCTCAAACGCAGTTATAAAACAGTTAGCCACATAGCAATGTATTGGTCCAGGGCTTTATTCTGTTTTAAACCAGCTTAAGTACAGTTCAGTTTAAGGATTAGAGAGAACAGAAAATTTTTCTATTAAAAACACAAAATAAAAACTTTTCTATTCCGAAACTCTCTTCAGGCGTACGAGTACACTCTTAACAGAGTGATCCTGGTTTTTATAATTATAGTGGATCGTCGATAAAGCCCTCCTTCCCGGTTGAGGTCCTCGCAATGTGTCTCAATCTACCTCTGCTCACAGTCGAGAGAGATCATTCCACAATAGACTGATGTGTGGCCGTTCCAAGACTACCCATGTGAAAATCGATTTAATTATAAGGTCAAAATTATTATGATTTCAATTTCATATAAATGATTGCAATACGCATTTTTTTCTCATCTAAGGAAAATCGGTAACCATTGTCCATAGGCAAGAATTCAGCCATAATACGTATTTGCTAATATCTGTAAATAAAGTCAAAATGATTATAATTGATCAATAATAAGTACGTGCGGTCGTTTCATATGCTGTTTATATCTGTATTCTCAACAAGAAACCTAATCAGTCAAATTCGCAATTAATTGTTCTTCTCGTATTATTATGTAACAATATTATTGTATATTTTCAACCGACTTTAAAAAGGAGATTCTTAATTCGATTGATTTTTTTATATTTGTTATTCTTTAACTCCGTCAGTTCTAAACCGATTTGGAAAATTATTTTTTGTATGAAAGCATATTCTTACAAATTGTTCTTATAGAAATTTATCCAAATCGGTTCAGTAGTTCGATTTTTTTATATCAAAATAACTAGTTTCGTCACAATTGAAGTTGCTTTTTTGTGAGGCACAATTTCTAATTCATACTAATCTTTAATTATCTTATTAATTAATATTTATTGGGCTCTTCGCCTATAACATTAAATTCTATTATGCTTGGTGAAATGTACTCGCATACATGTCGCAAAATCTCCGATTACCTCGTTAAGAATTATAATTGTAATCATATTATTTTTTTAGTGTGTTTAACATTTGTATCGTTTACTTATATGTAGATGTTTTGTTGTATACTATAACGTAGTACTATGTACCTAATACTACAAACTATAGCAAGATTGTCATTCCTATAGATGTTTATAATCACTCAATTTGCTTTAATGTACCAGCATTTCATTAGCATAATAGCTAGGCAATAAAATCTAAACAGAGAAAAGCGATGTTTGTCTGTATAAAGAATAAAATATGGCATGTAATCTAGCGAATATTTTGTCACATTTTCTTTTGTGATTTGCTTGTAGTCAAGAATAGAGAAAAAAATTGTTCACAAATCACAGAGACTAAAATGCAATGTTGTCGGTCAAAATTGATAACTTTCAAAGTGTCATTTTTCTTTCTTATTGAGTTATTATGTACATATGTCATATATACCAAAAATAATATACCTACGTCCGCCTGAAATATTTACTTTATAAATAGAAGAATCAAAGAGCCGCTTCATCCAAACTTATTAGTAGAATGATTCATTATATAGATACCAAAGTTTACTAGGTAAAATATTCATTATCTGTCAAGTACATATTTCGGAAGCATTTCACCTTATCGTCCTTTCATTAGTCGTTTGTTCCGCATTTCAAGACAATGGCGTTATAGACAATGGACAGTGGAGACAAAACGTCTCATTGTGACTGACATCAATACCTTCAATGTCCATCAGATATTTTCTATTACTGAAGGATTTTCATTTAAAGACGAATAGGTAGGAGCTGATAGTGGTGTCGTATGAACTTGGTAGTTTTGGATGTTCTTTTTTGGCTGTTGGAACATCGATGTATGTGTCGTTTGTAGATATTCTAGTCTAAAGGTAAAATTAAGAATCTGTCGTGCATAGACTAAATTTAGATATGGTGGCAGTCTTTTTTATGCAACTCAGAATGGTAAGGATTATGCCTTGATAAATTGTAAGAATGACCTGTCTGAAATTCTTTGTTTATGGATTTAAGTTTAAGATATTGAATGCAACTGCAAGAGAAACAAAATTTTAATATCTTAGTACCTTCATAAGAAGGGCAATACATCACAATAGTACAACGCAATTTCGTGCGTATTCTGAGTGTTTATAGTTGCAATTTAATTCTTGATTCTATGATTACCATAATTGGGTAAGTACATTCTATACTGTAATATCACACGAGGGATCTTTGGCTGTTTTTACACGGTATTTGTTTCTTTGTTTTTTTTTTTGTAATAGACATTTTTATTATCTAAATTTTATCACATTGTTACCTAATCTCTTACATTTCTAGTACCTTCATTTCTAGTCATACAATGACAGTCATTATCTAATCACAAAATTCACATGAGGCTATTCATGTGAATTTTGTGGTCATAAATATGTTGGTAATACCCACATTGCAAGATAATGCAACAGCGGATGAAGCCTTGGAAACCCATGAGGCGACCTTTGCACATATGCTGCTGATATTTTGTCAAAATGTACCAGTCGAAGTTCATTATCTCTCAGATTAATTACTATAAAATATCTTTATGTTACTTTTAGCAAAATGTGTAAAATATTATGTGCCTTGAAATAGACAATCTCAATGTATGACGTAATGTATGTGGAAATTTAAAATTGTTAATAAAAGTGAAATCACGAAACTGGCTTCCCATCACTAGATTTTTAGTACTAGTTGGCTTAAAATAGTAATTAATGCATTTTTTTAAGTCTAAATTATAACATATTAGGGATGGCAAATTATACAACGGATAAAGGGGACAGAATGGATAACGGGACATAGAGTGTAATATACCTCGTATCACAATCTATGGTGTTCATAATGTTCATATCCAAAATTTATATATTTGAGGTTTCAACATTTTTAGTATTTTCTGTAGTTAGTATAGAAAAAACCACGTACTTATGGCGCAGTACCAAGGTATAGACATCTAGATTTACAATCAATTGCGCAATCAGTAAATTAAGTGTAGTTAAAACCTTCCATTTAATCAGAGTTACGGTAGAAATAAAACGAATTCACATACGATAATAGTTAAACATTTTTATATTTTATATTAGACGATTCTAATAACAATACTTTTAACAGTCTTAAAACAAACGACTTAGTGAGAATAGTAGGCGATCAACGCCAAGATATCTACAATATTTACAACAGGTCAAGCGCATGTGAGCGAGGTGAAGGCGCGCGGCGCAGGGTTCGGGGGCGCGCTGTGACGCTGCACGCCCGCCGAGCAGCTCCCCACGCCGCGCGCAACCGCCTCGAAGAACTGCCGCAGGTCGCTCACCGACCGCATCGGTGGCGCCTGCAAATCATGCAGCGACGCAGCTCGTCGCGGCGTCGTCTGCGGTACGGTTACTGGCCGTGCCAGCTGTTCAGTACTCCGTGCCATAACGCTCCCGTTCTGTGACAACGACTCGAACAGCGCCCTTCGCTCCCTCACCGGAACGTATTTAGCGACAGCCTCGTGAGCGTTCGGCGAGCAAGACCTCGCCCGGCTCTCCAGCGATGCGGTCTTGCGTCTGGCCGCTTCCATAGCGTAACGACCGCGCTCCGCACCCCCCGCTGTACCCTCCCACCGTTTCAAATAGCGGTGGCGACCTTGCTCCGAATCGGTGGACCTAGCGCGCGGTAATGTGTGATGTTGCGCGTTCAGTTTGCTGCAATTGTCGCACTTGATGATCTCAGCTTTCCGTACCGGCGCGTCTACCACGTCGGTGGTTTTCAAAGCGTCGAGGGAGAGGGATAGATCGAGACTGCGGTCGGACGATGAGTCGTAGTCGTCGTCCTCGACGACGATGCCCTCATCCGTTGCAGCGGGGGAATGGTCCCTACGGGGCAACTGCGTCTCGGAGGAGGTTAGCAACCTCCGTCGAGCTCTCGGTGGCGGTCTCGGCGGACACGAGGGTGTCTCCTGCAGAGGAGCTTTTCTCTTTGGTTCGCGACTGGTGTCCGCGGCGGGCAGCACGTCCAGAAAACGGACTTGTGGTAACGGGGTCTGGCCGAGTATTTCGATGCATAGCGCGCGCACCCATTTGTTATATTCCGCCGCATTGCAAGTCTGTAACAATGGAGAAGGGACATCTTTATCATGTTTATTAGACATGGATGTAATGTAGACGTTATAATACTAAAAAATTAACTAGTCGGTTATAATCATAACCAATTTGAATATCAATAATAGTTCAACGGAATCTTTGTCATGTACTTATGTGGAATGGCAATAAAAAAACATCTGATCATAAGGGCAAGGCTAGAAACGATATGAAAACTTTTTGTATCCATGGATCATATGGCCTTTCTTGAAACGTGTTTCTTTAACGTGTCAACACCTTCACGATCTATCCCTTCTTATGGTAAACAGACCATCAAAAGGTCGCCAAATACAAAAGGCGATGATTTACGGGTGTTACGCTTTGTTGTGAGCTATTAAAGTAAGCGAATCGTGAGAAAGGTGGGATCGGTAGGGGCCGGAGGCCGGACGTCTTGTAAGACGTTACTCAAATTGCCCTATGACATTAAGCTATTCATTGGGTAGGTAACGGATTTACAAATAAAACATTTGATCTAACTAAACAGTTGCAAAATAATTTTATTACATCATAAATGTAATGACAGTATTCTGAATCCAGATGTATCAAACGGAAATCTAATGATAGTGCATATTTATGTTTTTGAAATATGAAACGAAATATATTCAAATTTCGACAATGCTTCTTAGGGAAAGTCTTTCAGTTTCATAAATACTATCATTGGGCTTCGGCGTTGTATAATCATTACAACTCACTAGTGTATAAATTGGTTTAATAAATGCAGAGATATCCTGTAAACCGAGGATGGATATCATGAGTATCTTGTGATATCATAAACATTTCACGTGGGCGAAGTTCCGGATATCACAAGCCCAAATCATTACACCATCTATCTGATACTGAAACGAGGATATGACGAATGGTCTGGGAATATTATGTAATAAACTCAGTCGTTCTGAATAAACAAAGCCATAGTTTTCAAATAAATAATATATATATATATATATATATATATATATATATATATATATATATATATATATATATATATATATATATATATATATATATATATTATTAGCCATTCTGGTGAATGTAATGTCTAATGACTATTTAATTTGCTAAAGAATTTATTTTCATGATTTCAATTATAGCAATAGGTATAGAAACTTTGATTTAGAACTCTGACGGCCAATCTTTTGCTATTTTTGGACACATTTAAAAGCGACAGAAAAAGATATGTTATCAATAATAATAGTGTTCTACGGAATTCTAAAAGGTAAAATATGTATTTCTACATTCAGAAGACATGATATATCTATCAGTATAATCAGCAGTGAAACATTTATTCGAGATTATTATCACCCTCGTTTCGTATGATGCGGCAGTTCCGTAACGACCATAAACGATTCTAGGTTGCTTTCCTACAATGCCAATTAACATTCGAACGTAATTATAAATCAGCAAATGAGCCAATTTGCGGACATAATTAATAGTCGGTGGATTGGATACCTGTTCGTGTTCACATAGAAAGGAAACAATAATTTCCTGTTTTTATTAAAAACGTAAAAACGTAAACATTTGGTCTGCACTAACAGATTTTTTTATGCAACTTGAATGGCAAACAAACTGAAGGCCCATCTGATTGAAAGTTAACCGTTGCCTATAGACATAAGCAGTACCATGGACATAACAGAGTATACTGTTCCGCCCATGATACCCCTCATGCATTGCCAGTCTTGAGGACTCAGTTGTTATTCCTCTGCACCCTGTAAATTCACTGCCATATCCTACCTTTTAAACCGAAACAGAGCCATGCAAACACAATCGCTTCGTGATAGAAACATTATATATAAAATATTCATAAGGATATTCTTGTAATAATTTTAAGCACAATTTTTTATAACAATTTATAATTTGTTTTTATCATTATCATGGACAGAAATTATAAAGAAGAATAACATTTTTAATATAGGGTAGTATGATGATGAAAAATGGTAATCGATGCCTATAGATTAGTATATAGGATACGCTGTAGTGCTCATGGTACATACCAATCATCCGTTGCCATTCCTGAGAACTAAGGTATTAGCCTTTAAACTCTGTCATTATACTACACTGCACCTTCAAACCAAAACACAGCCACGTAAGTATTGATGATTGATGCTAGAATGCTTGGTGATAGCAACACGAGTGGGTTCAGAAGTATGGTTATTTATATAAAATCTCCCTTTGTTGAAATGTAAATTGTGTATCGCGGATAAACAATTCAAACGAAATAAGAGACTACACAAAAGTACAACCAAAAACTTTTATGAACATAAAATTCTTCTAGTGAATATTAAAAAAGTTTTCGATAATTCTTAGATGATGAATTTTATCGAAATGAACATATATTCGATAAGAGAAAAATTAAATTCATTACTAACTAGAAGGGTTCATCCACGCGGAAAGTCATACTTCCTGTTCCTGTGGGAACTTCTAAAACACGCACTAAAAATAAGCAATAAACTTGATAACTTTTGTCTAAGGAAAGTGGATGTAAATTAAAAAAAATATCTTTCGTATTATATCAAACCTGTAATCTTGAGCTATGTAGGTATACTCGTAAGAGAGGTTCAATAAATATTTTGTATATAAGTATAATTATGAAACAAGTCTGGCAACATCGAATACAGTGAGCGAAACTGGTCAATAGCTAGCTGTCAATACACATGATAGTTAATTATAATTATTATATAATTAGTATTTATAAAATTAATTGTCCATTGATGATCAGAATTGTAAATTCAAGTATGTTGTCAATTTTCTGTAGAGGGATCGTTCTGTTTGTATACGATAACGAAAGCAATTATTTTGTCTATCTAATTATGTACTCGTATATGTAATTGGACACACTAAATCATGTATTGATGTTTAAACACTTTAGTGTGTAAACTTTTAAAAATATGAGAAAATGTCACTGTAACAAAGTTAGTATTTAAGACTTCAACGTATAAAAAAATGACTTCAATCTTTACAAAGTTAGAATGGAACACACACAAATACAAAGATTTTTATCTGCAAAGAAACAAGTAGCGACAAAATTAATATAAGACCAATATGAAAGTAAATCGTACCGATATATACTACTATCAAAATTATAATTAGTAAAATGTCACAATATAAACACAAAAAAATCGATGAATGGAGAACTTTTATCTTTTCTAAGTATTAAATGGCACATTGTTAGAAGCTCAGGCAGAGTTCCTTAAACTGGTAACAGTGATTTTATTTCGACATTGCAATACTTTTCGTATATATTCATTCATATACACTGCAGTAGTCGCGTAACAATATTTGTACTGTCCATACGACTATTGGTCTAACAGTGGCGTTATCTAAAGACTTAGTAATTATTTATGTAAGCATTGTCACCGCTAGACAATGAACGGCGGCGTATGTGATGCAACTTAGTGTATTGTTTGTCTGTTAATCTTATACATTGATCGTTATAGTTGCAATCTAATACAGTGTCTAAACACTGTTTTAGATAATTATACGCCTTTAGGTGGTCCGATAAACAAATTTCAATTTCTTTTCCTTACCTAAAACGAAAATGTTCTCAAACTATATGCTCACCAACGAGTAGATTCAAATTTCATTTTAAAGAGATGGGGCATTATCTTTTAAGTTTACTTCATGTTTTCAAATCAATGCACTAGAGATATGTTTGTAGTGCAGTTTCATTGAATAATATTTTGCTTATTGGACCTTTAAGTCCAATATACAGTGTTGATTTTTTTTATTCTTTTATCCATCAATTTTGGTAAAATGTCTTAGAGTATTTGTTTTTTCTTTCTACGTATAGATGGAGGATATTTATAGGAGTATAGATAACTACGTTTTATTAATTACTTTTTGGATAACGAAAGGGAATGTCTCAAGACTTAATTATAGGTTTTAGTTATAATATGCCCTTCCAGAAGTTTGTAGTGTCCAAAACCAGTTTCTAGCTTTCTAAATTGGCCTAATTACACTTCTACACTCATTAATAATCCATTAATGAGGCTAACTGTGGTAAATTCCCAATCAAATTCCTTAAATATGTCTCTTGCTTAATACACATTATCTGTTTTTCACAAATGATATGACATGTTATTTTCGTAGACTTCTTTAGATAGTATAGACCGTGGTTCTATCCGAGGAAATTGGTTCGTCAAGCTAACTAATAAGAATGAAATTATTGATTTGTGCTCTGACTTTGAAATCGATATGCTTTCTCTATAGCATTATTAGTGTATAATAATATTCGTTGTAGTCGTCTGTCTAGCTATCTGAAAGATCATAATCAAGCAGAACATAAACAAATTTGAATTCTTATAATATTAGCAAAAAATGAAGCTAAAACCTCAATGGCTTGTTATCGCCAATCCTCAGACGCCGCAAATTGTTTTTACAGCGGAAACGAAAGTTTCTGTTACAATTAAAGTGCTTTCTTGAAGCAATTAGTGCGGCGAAAATGCTTAGCCACTACCTGTAGGTAGGTATTTAAATTATCTCATGCGTCAACCACGACATTAAAATAAAGACAGTTTAAGCTGGTAAAGGACATGTTTTTGCTCAACTGGTTAATGTTACTTGAATTTGGATAGACTCAACGGGTAAATGGAAGTATTTTTCCAATTATGTTGCCAATCTATTAGTAACTGCTTACGACATCCTGGGGATAAGATGGAATGTTATCTTCTCACCAGGATGTCGTAAGCAGTTACCAAGGAATTAAAATACAATTAAACAGTACAAGAATAGGAAAATTTGAAATACGGAAGAAACTCATATTTAGAAGAATGACGTAAATTGTTATGGTATAAAATTTCGGAGACTTGTTTTTTTTTATGACAAAACTACGGTATGGTACAAAAAGATTAGGCTAGAATCATCAGTATCAGCAATATTGCTAATTGTCAGGTATCGGTGTGTGAAATCTGTTACCAAATTGGTAATAGCACCTTAAGAAGTCATATATACATAAAATTACACCAACTTCGTCTTTAAAGTCTTTACAGTTAGTGAAATTTCAGTTTACAATTAAATAATTTCTAATGTCAATTTCCCAGTAACAGTAAAAAATATAATTACCTGAAACGTGGCAACTGCAGCATCGTCGCGCAACCGTGACAACTGGAAAGCGTTTGGAAGTGACGAGGCCATTCGTAGGTGTAAGTCTCGCAGTGGCAGTCTGGCAGCTCGCCCCCTAGGCAGGGTGCCCTCGCGCCAGGCAAGCAAGCACCCTCCGCGGACTGCGGCTCGTACCCACGCCCATGATTCCGTGTCATCATTGTAATACTGACGGAGCACTCCTGTAAACAAAATAATTTGTTAGTATTTGTTGTTGATTTTTTTCCTCAGATTAGGTTCGGTAGGGTATTTCATATAGGTTCTTTTACACCACTAACTGAAATGATTAACAAGAGGGAGACTTTGTACAAAAGTCGATTACTTGGGTACCTCTGTCCCATTTGTGTTTCTACCGTGAAGCAGTTGTGTTTGCATGACTGTGTTTCGGTTTGAAGGGTGGGATATGGCGTGAATTTACTGGGTACAGAGGAATAACACCTGAGTCCTCAGGAATGGGAACGCATGGGAGGTATCATGGGCGAAACAGTATACTCTGTTATGTCCATGGTACTGCTCATGTCTATAGGCGACGGTTACCACTTTCCATCAGGTGGGCCGTCAGCTTGTTTGCCATTTAAAGTTGTATAAAACAAGTTGTATTAAACATATATGCTAATTGATTACCGTAACCTTTAGACGCTTGCAATATTAAAATCAAATTTTGAGGACGAGATGCCCCACAAATACGCCTTTAATACAACACTAGTGACATTGCGTTCGCGTTGTCGATTTTTAAGAAATGTTTTAGCTTTATTTTCTAAATACCGTCAAATCTTGGAGAGTTTCCTGATTGCTCAAGAGACTTCTCTAGATGTAATCTTATACATATTATCGTATAATGTAATGACTCCTAAAGAAGTCTCATAAATATGAGACATTGGATAGACAATAGCGTTTTGGCAAAAATCAGATAAGCGCAGCAATTAGTTGATGCGACGCGTTCTCCTTATAATAAGTACTTAATTTCTATGTAACCGCGCTATACCTTGACTCTTTCTGCCATTTTAATCAGGATAAAAGTTTGTTGAATCACGAAAATGCCAACATGAAACAAATATTTTCAATGTAAAACGTATTAGTAGGTCCTATAGTTATACAGTATAATGTATTGCCACGCAATTGCAACAAGTATTATATATGTTTACGTATAAGTAAAGCAGTAAACAGAGTAGGTATAGGTGTTTAAGTCAAAGTAGAGCCTTAAAGCTAAACAGGAATCTGATTCGTTACGTGCATACAATTACCAAATCCGATAACGCCAACACAAACCTTAACGTCATCGACATAAAGTTTGGTTTGGTCAGTGCTCCAATTCTACTACGTGCATGGATTGCAGTTCGAATGACAGTTGACACTCAATGCCATAAGGTTTTGTACCTACAAATCGTAATTGTTGCACGTACTTAGCCAAGTAAGTTCAGGGTAAACATGTAATGATCCGATCAACCGTTTAAGAAACACAATTGCTTAAACGGTCATAAATGTTTAATTAAAGTGTATATAGTTAATAGCTTACATGTATAGGTAATATTTTTTGACAACATCATTGACACAAAAACTTGCTCTCGTACAGAGAAAAGCGTGTATAAATGATAATGTATGGTTAATGTTACCACTGTTCTCGTTTTTGCAGGATATTTCGTTTTAGTAGTTTCACGCTACAATAAGAGTAGTTCATAGATGTTCCGTTGTTTTTATGCTTTCGATTTTTAAGTTTCATTAACCATTTACCGGATTTTATATTTATAGTAAATCCCTCACCAGAGAGAGACTTTGTACAAAAGTCGATTGCTTGGGTACCTCTGTCCCATTCGTGTTTCAACCGTGAAGCAGTTGTGTTTGCATGGCTGTGTTTCGATTTGAAGGGTGGGATATAGCGTTAATTTACTGGGTACAGAGGAACAGGGCCGTGCCTGGGTATATGGCCGCCTGCGTGCCAGTCTGTATGGCCGCCCCCAGGATAACATTAAAAAAAACTACTTTAATTTTTAATGTTTATTATTATACACAGGGCATCAAACCGGGAAAAAAATCAGTTTTTGGTTAACCGAAATCGGCCCAGTAAACAACTTGTAACGATTTGGCCGCCTCTTAATTTCGGCCGCCTGCGTGCGGTGCACGCAATGAACGCCCGTCAGGCACGGCCCTGCAGAGGAATAACACCTGAGTCCTCAGGAATGGCAACGCATGGGGGGTATCATGGGCGAAACAGTATACTCTGTTATGTCCATGGTACTGCTCATGTCTATAGGCGACGGTTACCACTTTCCATCAGGTAGGCCGTCAGCTTGTTTGTCATTCTAAGTTGTATAAAAAAAAAGGTACTATAACATAAATATTTTCATTATAAAGAAATTCTGTAAAATGGGCAACTTAAGTCTACTGACAAATTACATACTTGCACCTTTTATTCAGTATCTACATATCACCAAAGTTAAAACGGTTAATAAAATCAGCGTTTCAGAGTCAGAGAGAGAGAGTTTGGTATCAATAGATATATTTCGTATCATTAATTAAAAGCATTAGTGGTGTTGTGATAAAATTGTGTTTTTGAAATTGACAGATAATGTGTATGTGTATGTATGTGTATATATGTATGCGTATGTATATGTGTATATATGATTTGTAATTTATGTAAATATTTATTTTAATTTCTGTCTTGCACTACTACTGCCCACTCACTACTTCCTATGCCACTGCGTTAGTTTGACTGATAGAAATCTCTTTTAGAGAACAGTTCGCCTTTGCTAACATTGTTATTAACTTATTGTTGTTATTGTATATATTATATATGGTATATATATATATATATATATATATATATATATATATATATATATATATATATATATATATATATATAAATTCGTGATTGCCACCACTTGTGTTTAAAATGATCGAACGATCTTAATGGAAACACTGGCACCGCGACATCTGTCTATGTCGGCCACTGCAGTTTACATGGTCAATGATTATTATGGACTGGTGTTTATTATCAATGGACCTTCTGTTTCCAGTTAACAAGTCATCGTTGTGCTTTACATTGTCAAGTTCATCCGGCCAGCGATAAAAAGGCTCGACTTTGTGATAATGCATATATTCTATTTTTAATTATTACATAGTATTACATAGTATTAAATGTTAAAGTTTTTTTTTATACAACTTAGAATGGCAAACAAGCTGACAAAGTGAATAAACTTAGCAAAATTTATTATAATATTCATCTTTTAGCACTTATTTAATTTTTATTTTGTTGAGATGCAATTAAACTTTCGTGAAAATGGTACTATCTATGGTATGCAGGTACAATCAAGCGAGACGCATCATCATCCTTCTTATTAAAAAAAAACAGCACATTAATGTTTCATAAAAAGTACTACCAACCCACTTAATCATGAAACATCGAGGCTATGACCAATTTAGACGATTTATTGATCGCATGATTCACTCAGAGTGGTGAAAGGTAAAAAATTTGTTCATTAATATCTCTTTTCTCATTTAAGTAAATACTGCCTTCGTACTAACTACATTTTATTCGAAAAAGGAATAGCTTGACAGGAGCAGTATTTCTTTTGGCTGCTTCTCCATAACAGAATGTCGTTTTGAGTACAAATTATTAAAAAAAATACAAGAATAATATTTTAATAATTGCAGTGTAATTGAAAATAAATCGATACGGGCAATGTTTGACACATTTTTATACTATGCTGGGGCCAATACCTACTATCTACATTATTGGCATATTGTCAATCTAAAGAATGACTTCTGTGTAATGTACATTAAATTCCTGTGTTATTATAATTTTGACAGCTATACTTTGGAAGAAGTAATTAAGAAACCGACTGACGACAAAACTAACGTAAAATTTTGTAACAAAATGTCATCGTCATTTTATCAGTCTTATCAGTTATTAAATGTCCACTGCTGAACATAGGCCTCCCCGTAAGGGGTTTTGTCAGTAGTTGCTACGCTTGGCAGGCGGATTGACAACTGCAGTTTGGCTTTTGGTGATGTTTTAAAAGGGACGCTGCTGCCCATCTCTCGACCATTGAGTTCCCTTAGTCGTTCTATTACGACACCTACGCGAAAGGAAGAGGTGCTGTGGTTTTAGCATAGAATGAGCCATAGAGTTTAATAGTTCAAGATTATATCAGGCATGTCATTAAACCTTTGATTATATATTATGTGGATGTATAAAATTGTTAAAAACTATCTCTAAGCAAAATTAAGAGAAATAAATTTTAAAATGTAAAGCTCATTGTAATTTATATGGAGTCATGTCAATGATAAATCATCGAACCGAATACATTCAGTGCGAGTTAATTTTCCAACCAATATTACCATGTTAATGGATATACGATTATTCTAATCGACCCGTATTACTTGGCCACCCTACTCTATCAATAGGGGCAACTGACATTTGAACGCAGATGGCACAAACAACAGGCGATCACTAAAAAAAAGGTCAGCACCGATCACAACTACCGAGAAAAGGTTCAAGATGTAAAAAATTGTTTGTATAGAGAGAGACGACAACGGAAATCGGAATTATTTTTATGCAATTTCACAAAGAAGGAATTTCTTAATTTCGATGATTTTTTTATTCCTATTATATGTTATCCGATTGGTGATTTAATATGCCGATTATTTTGCGAATATTAAGAATATTTTGTCACTACAGATTTAATATGGACCATGTATGAGTAAAAAGGAATAATTATTAATGTACTTCTATCACCATATCAGCCGTTAACTGACCATTGCTAAACATAGGCACTAACGTACTCCTGTATTTTTTAATTTTTATTGTATTATAAATTTCAATAGTGTTTGCTATGAATTATGGAAACAAATAATATTTGTTTATATAATTTAACAAATTATATTAATTAAAATAATCATATCGGACATATAATAAAATTTATAACTATTCCGTTATTTTGTTGTATTATATATGGCTAAATAATACATTTTAAAAATTCAATGAAAGAAAATTAATGAAGGATTTAGTTTCATTTCCTGAAAAAAAAAAATATATAATAATAACAACAATACCATATTCTTAACAAGCTCTTTCACTTTACACTGAACCCTAAGTAAAGATGAGCAAACACAATAACTAGTTCATTGGCTATTTTTCTTTAGCAGTAACTAGTTGGGTCTGCCAGATGTTTTCAATAAAACCGATGTAGTTGTAGGCTGTAAAATAAACCGTTTTACAATACATTATATATTTCACAACACCAGTAACATCCGTAGCCCAGATTCTGTTAAAAGGTTTGGAAACTTTGAGAGATTCACTTTTTAACTAGATGCAATATTGTGTATACGATAGTACGATATAATATAAATTCAGGTTTATGAATAAAAATAAATGTTCGCTTAAGTATTGATGCCTGTAACTGGATATTTTTTGCGATTTTCTTAAATAATAATCCATTCAGGTTTTATGAAAAAAAAATTAGACAAATCATCTCTTGAAAAAGGTCGGAGAAATATATCGATATATCGATTTATTATTAAATGCACGTAATAGTCTTAAAAAAATCAATTAGTACTTTCTGATTTCCATGACAACGCGATTATTGGGATATATCTGTTAATCAGGCAGGATAAAGTTCAAGAGTAGAAATAATGCTCTTCTTCATATTAAATATATACCATTTAAATAAAACTTCATGAAGAGTTAACCACGAGACAGTCTGTTTATGTTCAGGTTCAGTTTTAGGTAGTACAAATCAAAAAGGTTTAATTTCTTACTAATTTTGAGAGTGTTTGCAATAAGTATCACACAATCACACAAGTCGCCTATAGTCCTCGATCAAAACACTTTAGTAGCTAATATTGGTTTATAAGAGTTTTGAGGTAAAAACATGAATTTTAAAAACACGTTAGTTTTGAGGAACCAGGCAACGAATATCTATGATAATTGCAACTAAACTTTATTGTATCTTTCTTAGAAATGCACTAGTACCTATCCTATAGGATAGAACTGGTGTACGAATAGCAGGTACTGGCGATGTCTGTGTTAAATTTTGTAAAAACTAGTTGAACTGTAAGGAGCCCACAGGTAACAAGCAAAACAATACACTTTTACATTTATAATGTCTTTGGTAAAAGTAAAAAGGTTGCCGGAGATGATATTATTAAAAAGACAACCGGAAGCGGACGAATGTAGAAAGCAGAGGATCGCACAAGGTAGAACGCATTGATGACGCCTATGTCCAGTTGTGTATAACTGCAGGCAGAGATAAGTGAAGACGAAGTGATGTAAAGATAGAGATGGTCATTTATTTTCCATGACGTGACGTATTACGCTTATATCCTGAAAAAAAGTGCTTTTTCAAGATATTGTAGGAAACCTTATACGGTGATCCATTGAAAGAAGGAGATAGCGATTTTTAGTAATTGGGAGGTTTGTCCGCGTTGCTATCAATATATATTTCCAAGTCGAGCCCCATGCGGTCCCCTGTGGACACCATCGTAGCTAATACCCAGTGGATTCGCTACAATGGGCCAACTGATATGACTTCTTTCTAATCGCTTCATCCTCCACTGGTGCCTCGCCATTGCATACTGTTAGCATAGGCGAGAACACCATTCCATTAAAATATATTGAAGAAAAATTTGGTTAAAAAGTTTTCAGTTGATCGCAGTCATGGAATATATTGTCCCTGTGTTCGCTCAGGAGCGTATGGTCACATGTCGTGTACATAAAAAAAGTACTGTAGATGCGCTAGAAGAGAAAAAAAAAATCGAAATAAAGAACTAGATAAGCCAAGCCACCTGACCAGCGTGATAATAACTGGGTTACATTTTCGTTTTATGGGAAAAGATCAATGGCCAGTGACGGGAAATGGGACATTAAGGTAAGGTGTTATGAGAAGTTAAGTATTTAAGTGTAAATTAAAATAATCTATTGTTTGTTAGGCACTTACCGAACTAATAGGTACCTATTAATGTTTTCCTCTTTAGAATCATTACAACTATAAACAATGGGTCATAGGTTTTCTCATAGTAAATACCATAAAACTATAATAATATGTTTATCATTGCCGTAGGTATGTTTGACAAAGTCAAATGAATTGCACTACGCCTTAAACCTTATACTATGAAAATAAGCTGAAAGCTTCGTGTTCTGGACATTTTGTTCAGGACATCGGATTCGTCAATGGACAGACATCAGGCCATAATCATTATGGCCAGCTTATTAGAAACCCTATGCAAAAAAGTGCCTCTGGATTTAAAAGTATTGTTATGTGACATTAAATTTTATAAATCCTCATACTTTCTAGTAAATACGGTCAATAATTTATAATGCGACGTTGATTTGTGATATGTTCAGTGAATATAGTGTAAAAATGATTACAAAACATTTCAGTTGGCTACAAAAATACTAGTTTTCAGAGTCGTTAAAAACTTTATAAAAAAAAAATACATTCGTCATCATCATTGGTATTATTTCAGTCGTCAACTGTCCACTGCTGAACACTAGCCTTTCACCAGAAGGGGTGTTTTGCCAGTAGTTGCTATAGTTAGCAAGTGGGTTAGCAACCGCAGTTAGGCTTTTAGAAATGTTTTAAGAGGGACGCTGCTACTCATTTCTCGACCATAAGTTCCTTTAGTCCCCTCTTATGGCACCCACGAGAAAGAAAGGAGTGGTCCATTCTATGCCGGGACCGACACGGCGATAGATTCGTCATCATAGGCACATAAAAAAGTAAAAAGAAGTAGGCGGCTACAAATGGTACCTAGATCCTCTTATGTGGGGGAAAGGGATTGTTAGTAATGGGGAGGATAGTCCCCATCGCTATCAATATACCTTATCAGGTTGACCTCCACGCGGTTCTACTAATTAACTAATTTATCGTTGAATTCAACACGATGGGCTAACTGACCTGCCTTTTCATCCTCACCAATCATCTTTCACTGGTGCCCCGCCAGTGTATACCAATAGCACAGACGGGGTTACCATTCCATTCATATCAGGTCGACCTCCACGTGGAAACCATCGTGCTGAATTCCAGATGAATTTCATCACGGTGGGCTAGCTGACCTGCCCTTTCTTCTCATCTATTACCCCTCACTGGTGTCCCGCCAACGAATACCGATAGCGTAGGCAGAGTTACCATTCCATTTTCACGCATTAAAAAAAACTAGGTGTAGATTAGTATTTTCAATGGGATGGAATTAGAATAAGCAGATATTAGATACACCTATAACCTGCTTTACCCTTACCTCATATGTTTACATTACCTACATTATATCGTCATAGTCGTAGAATACTGACGGATTCTACGACTATGACGATATAGGTAAATTGTAACTTCACGTCATGCTCCTTGTTATGTAGACAATGTTTCAGAGAAAAATAAGTGGACATAGACTCCTTCTTTTTTTATGACCGCAGCAACGAATCTTTTTTTTTTTAATATTTTATTTTGTGGATTTTCATAATCATAGTTTAAATTAGGTTACTCATGATTATTATACTACCTACATATTAAAATAGAAAATTAAATGTTATTAAAACTGGATTACCAACCTGATATCCGTAGGTTGGGATCAGCAGGCGCGGGCACGGGTCCTGGTGTCAATTCTGGTCGAAGTTTCCTCAGCCCGGCGACCACTCGCGGCGCCGGTGACTGTTCTCCCACAAGCATCTCCTCACCACATTTTACAAAATCACTACCACAATCAACATCGCATCACCAGAACAAACATCTGCTGTAATTGTCAAAACGAATGTCAACACAGTCAAAATAAATTAGCATAGAGTTCGTTTTTTAATCGTCGAATAAACGGTAGATGCGCGCGAAACTCATTATATACAGCTTTTTCGGATTTTCATTAAATTAATGACAACCGACTGGACGGCCGGCCGGCGCGTCAATGAATGAATGGAGTCGATTTGCTTTCGCCCCACTACTACGCTCTACTACGAGCGACAATCAACGAGACGACAATGGTGAGTCGAATAGGTAATAAAAATTTTATAGCCTACCCCACTGAGTTTTTACTGCCATCTATTGGACAATAGATGCTATTATTTCACACAGAAAGTTTTAGATAATATTGTATATTGAAAATAACTGTACTTAGAAGTAATTTATTTTCTTATAATAATATAATATAATATTAAATACAATTTTGTTTAATATTTTTTTTAATCCATTTAAAATTGTAATTTTAGTTATTATTTACTACTAGCTACTACCTACTTACTTAAATAAAATTATTAACTATGTTATGAACGTATTGGATTAAAAAAATATTAAAAGTTTTTTGATTTTATAATAATTTATTAAATACATATTTTACTATTGTAAAAATTCCTACTAACTACCATCTATTATCAAGTAGTAAACATTAATATGTGGTAAAAGCATTCGATGCTGATGTATATGTAGTTAATTATATGTCGAAGCGATCTTTATCCAAGAAGGCTCGTTTAGTATTTGTAATTTAATAACATTAATATAGATGGTAGCACTGCGCAGAAAAGCGACATCTATGTTTTTAATAAAATACTTCTACTATAATATTTACTTGTATTGATACGCCTACTAATAAGTAAATTCAGTTGCTACATTGTTTTCAAAATTAATAGATGGCAATACTTAACTCAAAAATTGTAAACTATAAAATATTTTTTTCTACATCTTACGATTTTTGGATTGATATTGAAACTTGCCCAAAACTTTAACTTTTTTATTACACTTATTTCAATAATAGTAATCATTAGTGTTGATACTCATTGTACTTACTATAACAACACCATGAACATGGGGGGAAAGGTATTGTTATTAATGGGGTTTGACAGCTCTTTTGCTATGATATGCTTATGCACGATGATTCCTCCTGGAAACCATCGTAGCTTATTCTTGTTAAATTCGTCACGATAGGCTAATTGCTTCATCCTCATCTATCATCACTCACTGGTGCCCTGGGCGTTATCATTCCATTATCATTAAAAAAAGCACCACGAACATTTCATGGTATTGTGTCAAGTCGATCTTACTTAATTTTCTCAAGAATTTTAAAGTAAATCTAAAAGGACAGTATGTGCAAACTATAGCAAAAATATGCACATAGAATAAATTTTAATGTACAAAAATAATTTTGCGATTATTATTAATTAATCAACATGCAAATTTTAGACTATTTGTGATTTTTATATGAAAAATAATTTATAAAAATGTGAAATATTTAGTAGGTCTTACACCCCATGATCAGACCTCATAACAGCGTTAAAAAATAGGATGCGTACAAAGATACGTATCTCGATAATATAATACGTAATATTCTTACGAAGTAACTAAGAGGGCATAAGACAATTTTTTATATGCAATTGTTTGGACAATAATCAATAATAGAATCATTTTGGAAAAAATATTTATTAATTACAGTATCTGACTAAAAGGGTTCACTATGTATAATACCTATTACAATTTTGCATTTGGAAGACTTAGACAATAACAAGCTTTGATGAATATTCATAAAGGAAGACGTCGAGATCAAATAAATGGCACATAAATAGATCTAAATGTCAAAAACATACTTAATGCTAATACAGTCAATTACTTGATTGCTAAAATTAATATATAAAATTAAGGCACAATCGTTCAATTAATTAATTACATAATAAATTACAACAAATTAAAGCTTTGTCATGGAAGAGACTATTAATATCACAATATGCGAGCAACAGAAGTTTAGAGTATTATCACCAAGGACGCCATTTATTGACGTCTTCGTCCACTATAGGTCCGCTGGCGTGGCGTTCTTTTTTCTCCGCATAAAAAGCCTCCAGTTGCCGCCTCGCCTCCTCTTGCTTTTTATACTCCTGGTACTCGATTAATTTCCTTTTCTTTTTTGGCGGCAAGTTACTGTAATCCATCGGCAATTCGCATTGTTCCGGAAGATTGGCCACCTCAACTTTGCTCTCAGCTAAAGGAGTCGTATCTAATTGATTACCGGCATGGTATACGACGGATTTTTTTGGCGATTCTGTTTCGGCATACTGTGATGGCGACCTGAATTTTCTAAGATCCAATGTGTCATTGCTAGGATTATTGACAGGAGAATATTGATGAGTTACTTCAGCCCTGTGGAAATCGTTTTTATATGAATATTTTGCTTCTGGCTCATCTATGTTGATATTTGGATCAGCGTTGTTGTCATTGCCACGTTTATCCATTATATGTTGTCTTATCTTTTGGAGTATTACGTCTTTAGCCTCTACAGGAACCCTATTAAAATATGCATTACTTCTATGTCCATGAACATTAATATTATCTGGTGTGTGTTGAGGAGCTATTTTATCTACAGTCGTAAGAAGGCCCGTCATTGATGTCTTGCGTGTTACGTTCATATTCGGTCTAGGACAAGCCCATTGTTTTGATACTCCATCTCCGGAATAAACTGAATCTTCTGCGTCTGATGAGGATCTATCATGATCGCTATAATAATGTTGTCTGTCCGAAATTACCGAAGACGGTGATATCGGCGGCGAAAAAGGCGGCCTGTCTGGAACCTGAATAGTCAGAGGTTGTGCAGTTATGAGTCGTGATAAGTGGCTAATCAAATTTTGGCTAACTTTCGAGTCCAAATCAGGTACCGACATAATAAAACGGCACGCTTCTGCTGCGCATTGTCCGAAACCGGCTTGAAACTTCTTCGCTTCTACAACGGGATCTTTAGGACTGTGTAATTTAGTAAGGTGGTTAACGGTTAATTCAAGGATATCAGCCTTCTCCAACTTGCTCAAGTTGTCGTCATCGATCTGGGAACAAAAGAAAAAACAAATTAGCGAGAAGCGCAGGTGCAAGCATCGTTTCTCACGCTACTGGAGGGTAAACGTCACATTAATATAACTGTACGAGTGTACGAAGATAGGTTCTGTTTATTAATGGAACTTGTACTTTTGAATACCAGTTCTGAGACGGCGCTCAATAAGTACTCGTGTAATAAACAGAAGGACGACCGGTCCGTGATAAAAATAAATAGCGTGTGAATGGATGATGGATTGCGTTTTGATGACCAGCAGAAAAAGCTAAGCTGCATTTTTAGATACAATTAAGTATATACTAGAAGTATTCTATGTTTAAAAGATGGGTGGCTATTTCGAAAACTTTGATAGCAACTTTATAATAGGAAAATTAAAATAAATGCTTGCACATAAGTAGATATAATTTCTAGAATTATAACATAAATATGTTAATTGATAAATAACTTTTTAATCCATAAAAAAATTCACAATATTTAAAAAAAACATATATATATATCTACAGTTTTAGAAACTAAAGTTAAGCTAATTTTTGGATATTTTCATCCGCATTGAAATCTCCAGAAAATATTAATTAGATAAATAATATGTATTAATAACATAACATATAGCCATCGCTATTTTTGCCCGTCAACAGATAGTAAGTACTCAAAACACATAATAAATATTTTGCCAAAAGATTTTAAACAAGACAAATTTCACAATTCCAAGTACAATGTTAATTATTTTTTAATATGAATTTTTTTATGTCACGCTCAATTCATTTCAAATAATCTAAAGGGCTATTAATAATAAAAAAAACGTAGGTTTGTAAAGTCAATATTACCTCCAAAGCGCCGACCATGAGATCCTTAAGTTCATCTAAACAACGATTGATGCGTGCGCGCCGTTTCCTCTCAAGTAATGGCTTTGTGATCTTCTTATATTTAGCAGTTTTTGACAACGGAGCAGGATCCGAAGACATTATTTCTGTTCAAATAAATTTATTTATTAACAAAAATTACTTTTACTTTGTTTATAAATTAATTAATGATATTAGGTAGTGAGTAGATATACACAGAATAAAAAGTTCGTGGGACAACAGTGACACTGTTGTGTGCATGATATAAGTATTTAATTCATATTAGATAATTAATTTCTCGATTATTATTACAATAAACAGTTAAGTTTGTTAAACTCAAAAGTTTAGAAATATAGACAGTACTATAATTATGCCTTTTAACAAGAATAAACACTAAATAATTCTAAAAATTATACTTAACTTGAACTATCCACTTACCTTGAATTCACAATAAGTTCACAATAATAACTTAACCGAAACAATATAAAATAAAGAAAAAAAAAACTTATAAACAATCTAATCTAGTAGTCTTCCAAGCAAAGGACGCGCGTCTACATTCGCGCGTCGAGTTATACTGCCTGAAAAAAAAGCCTTAGCTACCCCGCCGCCTGCGCGCCTCGCTTCGGCCCTTAGCCCCGCGCCCTGCGTATGCGCGCCCATTCATACCACGCGAGAACACGTGTGGCCCAACGATCGAGTTTCAAGCATGCGTAACATACACTTATAAAATGATGAATAATATAATTATTTTCAATATAAGTAAAACAACTATATCTAATTAAGCATTTAAAATTTTATTACACGAAAAGGAAATCAGCTTTAATAATGACAAAATTAATAATTAATAATACAAAATTTATATTATTAGATACAAGGGACAAGAGTCTTTAAAGAACTAATTTATTAACTAAATAATAATTCTAATAGTAATAATAAACTCTTTATTGCGCACAGTAGAGATGTATACAAGGAGTATTTATACAGAATGTGCATATACAAAAGGCGGCCTTATCGCTAAAAGCAATCACTTACAGACAACCCTTACAACAATTCTACATGATTAAAATACTGAATTAGATGATTTATTGCTTAATTCAATTATATTTTATTTATTAACATTTTACAATCACTACGATAATCGCAAGTGTTCATTTCACGGTTCAATCAAGGAATGCCCCTAAAACTCCAAAACAAAGGAGCACTAGTTTAACATAGGACGTAATTATTATAAACAAACGAATGGTAACAAATACGTACAAGTCATTGTTTCTGTAATTTAAACATCTCGCCATTATCATCCTAATTTAGGGATCCGACAACAGGGTCACCGTCGTTTCTTGTTCTGCCATCGGCAGGCAGTGTTTCGATTGTCAACAATATGGGATCCTATTTATACCAAATTTATATAAGTGTCAAAGAAATTATAAATATCAATAAAATTGAGAGCTTCCATCTTTTTGAAGACAGTTTGTATTTCAGTTTTCATTATGTGATACCTATTAAACATATTCATATATGGAGTACGTAGGAGTTTTATTCAAAACTAAACCTTACATTATATTTGCAGAAAATTTTTAATAAATTTAACTAGTTGAACGAACTAAAGTTTGCTATGCATATACACGCGTTTGAAACAGTAAAATACCGCGTTTATTGCAGTATAACATAGAACACCAAATTCGATTTGTAATAAATTAGTAAGTGACTATGTTGATAGTATACCCTTAAGGAAAGCAATTGTAATAAATCGATGAAATAATCGTTCGTAGGTTAATAAATTACACAAAACAGTACAGTCGAAATGAGAGTCTCCTTTCCAAAGTTGGTCAAAAACAAATCACTGTACGATGAAATTATAATTAAACAATGTCACAATATGTATACTGTAATGCATATATTTAGATCATATTCTCACAAATTGTAACTTGAACTCATAAAATGCATCACTGCAAATTTTATTATCGTTACGTGTTACATTGCACGTGGTCATGTAATTCGTCATTGAAATTTATTCATACATGTTGAAAGCTTCATCGTAACTGCAAATGTCATTTATAACCAACATTAAAAAAAGAACTATAAGTATACCAACCATAGATTACGTAGAGATTAAAAAAGGGCATTGAACAGTAGTATCTATTGAAATAGCAATGCATGAGGAGTATCTTTTAATTGGTGATAATGAAATGGCCACCCCGCCTGCGCTAACGGTATACGCTGGCGGGGCACCAGTGAGGGATAATAGGTGACGATGAAAACAGGTCAGTTATACCATCGTGGCGAATTGCATTAGAATTAATCACGATGGTTTCCAGGGGGAAATTACGTGATGGTTGACCTGATTTTTATTAAATTTGTAAGAATATTACAGTACATATTTACTACAAACGATTTTTACTTTGTGTTAATAAGTGTATAATTTGGTTAATTATGTTCTATTTTTTAATGGCACTAAGAATGACACTACTGTCACTTATATATAATTACATAATAACATCATGGAGATCTCAGATCACATTATGATGCCAATGGTACTCCTTAGAGGGGGGAAAGGGATTGTTAGTAATGGAATCTAGTCTAAGTGCCCCATTGCTAGTAATACACCCTGTATTATTAACATAATTAACCAAATTATACACTTATTAACATAAAGTAAAAATCGTTTGTAGTAAATATGTACTGTAATATTCTTACAAATTTAATAAAAAATGCAATGTTCTAGACACGAAGTTCATCATCTCTGTCATATTATTAATATGTAAATAATAAATATTTTTGTTTCATATTCAATTATTTATTTATTAGTATTACCTTTTTTTTCTTATATCCTTTTAAAATGCATGTGCCTAAAAATCAATAAAACCTTTTCATCCCGTTACGTTTCGTAACTTGTAAAGTAAACAATAAAGAGACAAAAAAGCTTGCCGCTAATAACTTTTTATTAACATAAACAATGGCCACCGTTATATATAATAATTCTTAGCCTTTTAGTTAATGGAGAGGCAGGGTTTACATCGAAGCCGACCGCTACATGACCTGCTCTTTGGCGGTACCGAAAGATAAAGTCTGACGTAGACAAAAGTTTTGGAACAAAAAATCGAAGTAATAAATGGCACAGACCCTAATCGGATGAAAGGTATATGGTCGTTGTGGTAACATTCTTTCAGCATTGCCAGATTCGGCACTTTTATTCTCTATTTTGGGTAAAGATTTCTGTTTGTAAAATTTTAGATATTTAAAGTTGTTGGAGAAATATTCGGAAAAACAATTAAAAAAGATATTAAACAGTATTTTCAAATTATATATTTTTAAAACCTTATATATTATATACTATACGTAAAGTACGATGAAGTAATCAAAGTATTGAATTTAACGGTGTGAAAGTCGAAACTTTGTTATAGAGTAAAAGGGAAGAAATTTGTTTTAATTTGGAAAAAAAAATTAAATTCGGGTAGAAATCAAAATTCGCATCTGGCAACGCTGCATTCTTTTGGCACGGTCAGGTAAACGGACCATCTCAGATTTAGGTGTCTCTAATTTTGTCCTTCGTGTTTAAAATTTTATGTAATAAAATGTGTAGATAATTAAGGCACGTGTACGGCGCATGCGTTCATAAATGAGTTTAGAATTTGCAAATAATCACAAAAATAAATTCAAGTATTATTTAAGGTTCTTTTATTAAAATCATTTCTGGAAATAATATATTAAATAATTAATAATTATTGTACTTATACAACTGTATCGTTACATTTATTAATTGTATTGCTTATTCCTTTATTATATTATTATATTATATAATATAATAATGCAGATAAAGTATACTCATTCATTAAAAGATGTAGAATGTTTTATATTGAAGTCTAAATAACGTTTTTATCGTATCATTATTGAGAAACTGTATGTGCTGGTACATTATTTTAATGCACGTATCAACTTTTTATACATACCTACATATTAATATTTTTGCAATTGTCGTACTAATGCTTTTAAATACGAAATAACACAATTTTATGCTTATTATTATTATTTACTTACTTAATATTATATCAAGTGCCTTTTAATTATTTGTATGTTTCAAAATTTTTAATTTAAAACAAAGTATACTAAATCTAAATATTTGTAGTTTAATTCTATGACTATCAATTTATAAAAAACTAATTACATAAGTCACAATAGAGTAATATTTTTTAACAACTACAATTATAAAGCTAAAATTATAAATAAATAAAAAATCGTAATGAAGTTTTTAGAATGTATTTGAATGTTTGTTACTAAATTAAATGACATTTTAATTATTCATTTTTTACATAGTTATATCGTATTCTAGATATGGATGTATGCAGGATATTTTTAAAGCTAATAACGTAAAAAAAAAAAGCCACCGGTTAATACAAGTTAAGAGTATGTGTATTACGTAATAAAATTTGAAACAAAATCCCTTATCAATTCACATACAGGCGTCACTTCCTGTGCCTGCCTGCATCCCAGATGCCGGCGAGCCTTCAAGATTACATTGTATACAAAAATGCACGGTTCAGACCCAATATACAGACTAAACAATGACACAGCAATACAGAATAAACTATGACTCAGGTCTACGCAAACACACGGATCCGACATCTTACGTATTTGAATAAATTACCACGTTTATAAAACACAACGAACTCACCGTTTTCCTAGTAATATATGATTATACGAACTTACGCTACTATGTTGTTTAATATGACTATATATATATATATATATATATATATATATATATATATATATATATATATATATATATATATATATATATATATATATATATATATATATATATATATATATATATATATATGTATTATTGAAATAAATGTCAATTCTAATTTTTTTTTTTAATAACAGAATGGCAAACAAGCTAACGGCCCACCTATAGGAAAGTGGTAACCGTCGCTTATAGACATGAGCAGTACCATGGACATAACAGAGTATACTGTTTCGCCCATGATACCCCCCATGCGTTGCCATTCCTAAGGACTCAGATGTTATTCCTCTGTACCCAGTAAATTCACGCCATATCCCACCCTTCAAACCGAAACACAGCCATGCAAACACGACTGCTTCACGGTTGAAACACGAATGGAACAGAGGTACCCAAGCAATCGACTTTTGTACAAAGTCTCCCTCTGGTAATTTATTGCACTGATGCAATAATTATCACTGATAAGCAATAAAAGTTATAAATAACAGTAATGCAGATATTTCTTACGTCAGTATTACTTTCTGTGTGATAACAGGTTAGGGATTAAAAATACAATGCGTCACCACTTCTTTCGTTCTCAGAATGAATTTTTTTTAATTAACGATCATACAATTGTAACCGTGCTTGCACTGTCAGTTTATGCTGGCGTACTGGGGTACTAGTAAGGAATAATTGATAAGGATGTAGCCAAATCAGTTGAGCTGTTACGATAAGTTCACCAGGAATTAATCATGGTGGTTTTCAGAGGGTACCGCGTGGAGCTCAACCTGAGAAGGTATTGCTAGCAGTGGAGTCGTAAGACTCATTACTGATGATTCACCCCGCTCCGACTTCAAGA